CTACACATAAGAACATAAATAGCATAAAATATGTACAAAGAATAAAGCAATTTCAAGGACAAAGAAATAATCACACACACACACACTCCTAAGGCAAGAAATGCAAGGCAATAATAATAATAAAAAAAAAAAAACAAAACCACACAGGGAACTGAAAACACATAAAAACAAAAAGCACAAAAACACGCAAACGATCAAAAGGCCGGAAGGACACAAGTACAGAAAATAAATGATCAGCACACGAAGCACAGCACTACAGTAGCACAACCAGCCACACCTAAGACACACATATCTGCAAGCACAAAACCGCACCCAACCACACAGCCAATCACACAGAACACACAAAAGTCAAACAGGAGGATATTTCTCAGGGTACTTATACTGCGAATACTTCCGCTTATAAGCCTCCCATACCAAATACTCCAGTTCCGTTGGGGCACGGCCCTCACGAACTCGCGGGTGCTCCATATACTCGGGAATCTCCACATCCGGCGGAAGAGGGCGCCACCGACCCGTCACGGAAGGCAGGGGCATCGCCGCCGAGGAAGCAGGAGATACCAAAACAGCGGGCAGAGGCCGCCCATCTGGCCCCACACGAGGGCGCGCACTTCGTTCCACGCTGGGCACCGCACCGAGCCCCGCGGAGGGTGGCACCGCAGGCGCCTCAAGGCTCCCGCTAACCGGAACAGGAGCAGAGTCCCCCCGTCGCACATCCTTCGACAACACTACGACGAGGTCGCGGTCACCAGGGGCAACCGCCCACTGAGGAGAGCCACCAGCAGGGGGCACAGTGTCCAACACAGAAGGCACCACAGGAGGCAGCACATCGTCGCCCACAGCATCATCATCCATGGCATCACGCTCCTCCGCCCACGTTCGGCGAGGTGACGCAACCCGAGCCGAACGACGGCGCTTAGAAATAGGCCGTTGATCGTCGGAACTGTCACCTCCTACAAGCGGTGCCCCAGAAGAAACATCGGCAGGCGGCCCCAAAGCCAGGGCAGCACGACCACGCAGAACAGCAGCCTCAACGATGTGGGGCAAAAAAACACTACCATCCAAGGAGACCGGATTCGGAGAAGGAAGAGACACAGCAGGCGGAAGGGTAGACTCCAGCACACGTGAGGCATCCAGCGAGGGCGACGGAACCGGCAGAGGAGAAGAGGCACGCGTCGATGAGGAAACCACCAGAGGCGACGAGGCAGAGGGCGTGGGTGGAGTCACACACACCACCGCCCCGACAGCCCCGGGAAGCACACGTTCGTCTGCAGGAGATGCAGGCACCACCCCTACAGCATCATCCAAGGCCACCACGGAAGCAACCGGATGCGGATGCACCTCTGCATCCACCGAATGGCGAAGGTCTGAAGCAGGTGCCCCTAGGTCCCCAGAGCTTACCGGTGGGGCAGACAGATCAGGGCCAGACAGATCAGGGCCAGATGGAGCGACAGCTGGAACTGCCGCAGGAACCACACCAGGCACCACCTCATCCCCGGAGTCCTCCTCCAGAGGGAGCGGCGGGAAATCCTCTTCCCGGAACAAGTTGACCAGAGCCACCGTGGCTGCAGAGCACCCGGCAGCCTGATGTCCCAACAAGCCACACCGGAAACAGGTACAGGGTTGCCGGGCATAATACACCCTGACGTAGTATCCCATAAGCCGGACAGAAGATGGTACATCCGACCGCAGGCGCATTCTTAAAGTACGAACGTTCGTTCGCCTTCCTGCATATCTCCCTGAGGATAGCGTGTTCACCCGCACGCTTACAACAGCACCAAACTTCCTGAAGTAACGCCGGAGGAGGTTGTCGGGAAACTCCAGGGGCGCCCCATGGACACTGACATAAGTCAGGGCACCACTAGGTCCGAAATTGCAACAGAGCCGGCACCACCTGGCAACGGCAACGTACGCCCCTCGTAACGACGGAGGAAGTCCTGGTACTCCTCCTCCCTCACGAACTTGAGAACAACCTGGTGGGTTGTTACAAGCTCCACACCGTAGATAGCCACCACCGGGATACGAAGCATGTCACACATAACCATCTCAATTTCCGGATATCCAGCACGACTAGTGAACTCCAGGGCCACGGAGTTCACAAGCACAACAGGGGGAAGATGGCCACCCATGTCAAACTTGCCACGTCTTTGAGCAATTTTATATGGAGTTCTTTAAAACAAAAATCTTATCCGGGATTATCCCTGCTAATGTAATTTGGTTTAGGTATGTTGATGATATTTTGTGCTTGTGGCCATGTGACCAAGACCAAAATGTTTTTCTTAATGAACTTAGTTCTTTGGTACCTTCAATAAAATTCACATGTGAGAAAGAGGAGAATGGTACTTTTCCGTTTTTGGACATTATGATTCATAGAATCAATAGAATATTCAAATTTAATGTGTATAGGAAACCTACCAACGTGGGGTCGTATGTTCATTATTATTCGAATCATCATAGAAAAGTTAAAGAGCCAGTATTTTCAAGAATGTTTCTTCGAGCTTTGAGGGTATGCAGCCCAGAGTTTTTTGATGAAGAGATTGCAAAAATATATGAAATTGGGAAGAGTTTACAATACCCTAAAATGTTTTTGGATTGCTCGTTCGGACAAGCTAAGCGTACGTTTTATAATAATGTCTCCAAAGCGAAACCAGAAATTAGAAACTCATTGGTGGTACCTTATGCGAGTGGACTTGAACAAATTTCCCCGGTTTTTAAGAATCTTAATATCAATATGGTGTTCACTATTAGTACGATCAAGTCCAATTTAATAAAAAATTCCCCTGGTACAGCAGGTTGTGTGTATTCGATTCCCTGCAATGATTGTGATTCTGAGTACCTTGGACAAACAGGAAAGTCCTTACAATTACGGTTGTCCTAACATGCTTATAGTATTAGAACTGCCCAAACGTCTAGTGTATTGTATATACACACGAGTTTGTGTGATCACACTATTAAGTGGGATGGAGCGAAAAGCATTACTAATTGTGGTGGTTTCGTGGAACAGAATTTGATCGAGTCTGTCTTAATCAGTGTCCAAATGTTATCAATGTTAGTACTGGTATGTATAAACGTGATCCATTTCTATTTTACAATATTAGTTACAATATTTCTTTGCCATTTAAGTTAAATGGCAAAGAAAGAAAAGAGTGAGTGCACATTTCTAATTTCACAATGCTTGTGGGGTATACAATACTTTTTGTTGTTCCATTTCTGTGGAGATATAGAGATTGTCTGGTTTGCCGATTCTAGAACACGCAACATATAATTGTCTACTTAAGAAGCAATCCGTGTATAGATATAAACTGCACAATTCTAAAGATTGGTCCAGAGCTTTGTTGAAGGTGATTGCAAGCGCCAATCGAATTGAAAATTACGATATCTTAAATTGAAATGGCATTTCTGTTGGAATCATAGGAATGCAAGGAATAATTATATCTTCACCTTTGAAAGGTCCTGTCAAGATTGTTGATTAACGACGTCACTGATTAATCTTTTTACTGCATGCTGCGTGGCGTTGCAAAGTTTTGACTGGTTGATATTTCGCAACATGATAATTGGCAAGCCGATTTTCAATTGTTGTACATGTGTTGGTATCCCTGGCAGAACAAGTGAATTCAAAAATTCTGTTGGATAATTAACCGCATCATTTGCTTCCTCAACAGTGTCGACGGACTTGTATATGACTGCCTCACTTTGTATGTTAGACAAATACTGAATAATATTGTTAAGGTTGTAGACATCTTTGTTCCTAGCCGCAAGAATAGCTCGTTCTCTCAGCCAATCGTGATTCTTATAGTTGGTTTGAATATTGGGATATATTTTTTCAAACTATTCTTTTGACGTCACTAAATTGCAAAAGTTATGAGGCAATGAAATTCGTTCTGAGGTCAGATCAACCGGCACGTTTCCGTTCCTAATTTCCAGAAACTGATGTGCGAATATCTCAGCTGATGGATCGTTTTGTAGTTAGACACGCATATTTGGAGTTAATTTTAACGTCTTTACGTGGCGCCACAAAGTACAGTATTTCAGGCAAGCATTTATTTCGTCCGCTGGTGTCAATCGAGGAATTACAGTTAATGTTTGCCTGAAATCTCCTGTAAGCAATATTATTGCGTTCCCAAATGGTCTGATGTTACCACGCAAATCTTGCAATGATTTATCTCTACACGCAAATCTTGCAATGATTTATCTCCAAAATCTACAACGCTTCGTTGTAGATTTTTGCTGTAAAATCCATGGTCATATTTAAATTTTCCTTGCGTATTCGACGGATAATATCTTCAGTCAAGTATGTTGCAGTGGATACATTGTGTACCTACCACTCTGTGGGCCAGGGTTCGAGTCTCCTGGTGGGTTAAGTGTTAAAAAGTTATAAACTTCAGCTTGCGGTTTTAGGCAAGTATGTGCATTGAGCATTTACACTGAGTTTTCCCACATAACAGGGCTCGATTAAAGAACACCAGAGGTCCCTCATCATCGCATTGCCTGGGAGAGGGATGGAATTCTGTTGGGTAAATACCCCAGAATTCCTACCTCTCTTATGGCTTTGAAGTATGGTGCAGTGGATACAGTGTGTACCTGCCACTCTGTGGGCCAGGGTTCGAGTCTCCTGGTGGGTTGAGTGTTAAAAAGTTATAAACTTCAGCTTGCAGTTGTAGGCAAGTCTGTGCATTGTTTTTCGGCTACCTAACCTACCTAACCTAACCTAACCTAACCTAACTTTTTATAAAATGGGTAGCTTTATCATTTCATAAGAAAAAAATTAGAGAAAATATATTAATTCATGAAAACTTGGCTTATTACGCAAATCGGGCCTTGCATAGTAGGCTGAAAAGTGCGTTCTGGCTACTAGGTACGACATATATATATATATATATATATATATATATATATATATATATATATATATATATATATATATATATATATATATATATATATATATATATATAATGTAATATATATACATAAACTTATGGTAAAATCTTACATGTACTTACCTTGAGAACTTGTCTGGGAAGAGCGGGAGGCTGGAGGTGAGAGCGAGGCCTCGCTGGGGCGTCCAGGAGGCCACCTTCAGCGCCTGGGCGCCCAGGGGACTGTACGGCACCTGCAGGTACACCCCGCACCTGTACAGTGACAAAAGTTCTTCAAATTGTTTAGTGCAAATTTAGTACCAAACTATTCAGCAAATTATAAAATTAGAAGTATTCATCAAGTATTTTGACAAATTTCCACAATGGCAATTTCTAGACCCAAGCCAAGCTCTTGCAAGACATAGAGAGTGTCAGATCAACATATTTCGACCATTTTGAGAACGCTCCGTCCTAGGAGGCGTTCCAACTGTAATTGGTTCCATGCCAGGATATGTAATTAAATCCAATAGCTACCTTGAGGTTACCTTGAGGTGCTTCCGGGGCTTAGCGTCCCCGCGGCCCGGTCGTCGACCAGGCCTCCTGGTTGCCGGACTGATCAACCAGGCTGTTGGACGCGGCTGCTCGCAGCCTGACGTATGAGTCACAGCCTGGTTGATCAGGTATCCTTTGGAGGTGCTTATCCAGTTCTCTCTTGAACCCTGTGAGGGGTTTGCCAGTTATGCCCCTTATGTGTAGCGGAAGCGTGTTGAACAGTCTCGGACCTCTGATGTTGATAGAGTTCTCTCTCAGAGTACCTGTTGCACCTCTGTTTTTCAACGGGGGTATTTTGCACATCCTGCCATGTCTTCTGGTCTCATGTGATGTTATTTCTGTGTGCAGGTTTGGGACCAGCCCCTCTAATATTTTCCACGTGTAAATTATTATGTACCTCTCCCGCCTGCGCTCAAGGGAGTACAGTTTTAGGATCTTTAGTCGGTCCCAATAGTTTAGATGTTTTACTGAGTGGATTCTAGCAGTAGAGGATCTCTGCACACTCTCCAGGTCAGCAATTTCTCCAGCTTTGAAAGGTGCTGTTATTGTGCAGCAGTACTCTACTCTAGAGAGCACAAGCGTTTTGAAAAGTATCATCATCGGTATAGCATCTCTAGTGTGAAAAGTTCTTGTTATCCAACCTGTCATTTTTCTTGCAGTTGTGACGGCTACTTTATTGTGTTCTTTAAAGGTAAGGTCTTCCGACATGAGTATACCCAGATCCTTTACATTGCCTTTTCGTACTATGTTATGATTTGCCTGAGTTTTGTACGTGGTTTCCGTTTTTATATTTTCATTTTTTCCATAGCGCATGAGCTGGAACTTATCTTCGTTAAACACCATATTATTTTCTGCAGCCCATAGAAAGACCTGATCTACATCTGACTGGAGGTTCGCCGTGTCTTCTATGTTGCCTACTCTCATGAAGATCCTAGTGTCATCTGCAAAGGATGATACAGTGCTATAGGTTATGTTCTTGTCTATGTCCGAAATGAGGATGAGAAAAAGTACTGGAGCAAGCACAGTACCCTGGGGGACTGAGCTCTTCACGGTTGATGGGCTGGATTTTATTTTGTTGACTATTACACATTGGGTTCTGTTGGTCAGGAAATTGTAGATCCATCTGCCTATTTTTCCGGTAATTCCTTTTGAACGCATTTTATGTGCAATAACACCATGGTCACATTTATCAAAAGCTTTTGCGAAATCTGTGTAAATTACATCCGCGTTATGTTTGTCTTCCATAGCATCTAATGCCATATCATAGTGGTCCAGCAACTGCGACAGGCAAGAGCGCCCTGTTCTGAAACCATGTTGTCCGGGGTTATGGAGTTGCTGTGATTCCATGTATTTTGTGATTTTACTTCTTAGCACTCTCTCAAAAATTTTTATGATGTGCGATGTTAGCGCTATCGGTCTGTAATTTTTTGCCTCAGCCTTATTTCCTCCTTTATGAAGTGGTGCTATCTCTGCTGTTTTTAGTATATCAGGAATAACGCCAGTATCTAGGCTTTGTCTCCACAGAATGTGGAGGGCCTGCGATAGTGGTTTTTTACAGTTCTTTATGAATATGGAGTTCCAAGAATCCGGGCCTGGTGCAGAGTGCATAGGCATACTGTTTATGGCTTCTTCAAAATCCAGTGGGGATAGGGTGACGTCTGATATATGATTTGATGTTGGTATCGTATCCATGAAAAATTCATTTGGGTTATCAATCTTTAGTGTGTTTAATGGCTCGCTGAAAACAGAGTCGTACTGCGTCCTCAGTAGCTCGCTCATTTCTTTGTTGTCATCGGTGAAAGTTCCATCTCCCTTTCGCAGGGGCCCGATACTAGATGTGGTTTTTGATCTTGATTTTGCATAGGAGAAAAATATTTCGGATTTCTTTCTATTTCACTGATGGCCTTTTGCTCTCTTTGCCTCTCTTGGGTTTTGTATGATTCTTGTAGCTTCCGTTCAATTGTTTCTATTTCTCTACCTAACCTTCTTCGCCGTTCTTGAGATAGGGTGCGACTCTCAAGTTGTTCCGCGATACGTTTTCTTCGCCTATATAGGGAACGACGTTCCCGTTCCAATCTGCATCTCTTCCTCTTTTTTCTTAGAGGTATGCGGTTTGAACATATTTCTAGTGCTAGTGAGCTTATTTTTTCCAGGCACTGGTTCAGGTTTGCATTTTCTAGCTGTTCTTCCCAGTTAATTTCTGTGAAGTCCTGGTTTATTTGCTCCCAGTTTATCTGTTTATTATTGAAGTTGAATTTTGCTGAAATCTCCTCCACCGGGAATCTGGACTGGTTTTGCTATAAGCTATAAGTATATCACGTTAATACTCTGAAATAAAAACAATGGTTCCATAAATATTTGTTTAACCAGATACATTTGGTTAACGATTGTAAAGTCTATCCTTGAAACAGGCAGGGTAACTATGCCTGCCTTGGAGTGGATTACACTAGTGACTAGACGCTGCCATGCGAGTAAACACTCCACCACCTAATGGAAGATACAGCCGTGGACGGGACTCCTGGTTCAACCTGGACGATGAGCGGACGTCTGGACGCATCCTCCGCCTAGGGGCTTCCTGATCACGTTCTGTTTACGCGTTTTGGCTTTGCTACTGCCGTTTGGCATCCCTATTCAACGGTCCGGTGTAAGACACCTGGCGCTCATATTGCCTTTGATCACGGGATTGTTGATAGACTTTTTTTTACGTTTTCTGGTTGGTTCTCCCGGCAGGGTGACGGTGTTCGGGGGCCGGCTTGGCTGAGAGGTGCCGGGTGTTGGTGGGTCTTGGTGGGCTCCTGGTGTGCCCTCAGGCGTGGTGGGCGGCCGGCTTTTGCTCTGCCGGAGGACACTGGATGACTTTTGCAATTTAGTTGGGACCGAGTTTTGGTTTTGCTAACTTGTGTTCTCTATATGGGGCTGGGCCGGTGCTTGTCACCCCTGAGGGATTCCTGGGGCTCCCCAATCATTTGCCCGTTTGCATGTTTTCGCCACATGGCATATTAGTTTCTAGTGATTGGCGTCACTCGCTTCACAATTTAGCTTGGTGTTTCACCTTTCCTGGCTTCGCGATTAAGATTGGCGTTTCACCTTTCCTGGCTTCGCGATTAACCCATCATAGGTACGCCGGGGCGCATCTGATCCCGCGATCGTCGTCGCCCCTAAATCAACAACAACAACAACAACAACAACAACAGCCGTGGACGGGACTCCTGGTTCAACCTTGATGACGAGCAGACGTCCGGACACCTCCTCAGCCTGGGAGCCGTGGATCACGTTCTGATTTTGCTATTTGAATTTGATACAGCCGTTTGGCAATCACCAATTCAATGGTCCAGTTTTATGTCTCCTGGCACACATTTCGCCTTAGGTCACGTGATGGTTGGTAATTTTTTTTTTTTTTTACGTGTTCTGGCTGCTTCTCCCGGCAGGATGACGGTGTCTGGCGCTGGTTTGGCCGAGAGGTGCCAGGAAGTGGTGGGCTCCTGGTGTGCCCTCAGCCGTAATGGCAGCTGGCTTCTGCTCTGCCAGAGGGCACTGGATGACTTTTGGTTATAGAAGGGGACCGAGTTTTTTATTTTGCTAACCAGTGTTCTTTGTGTGGGGCGGGGCCGGTAGTTTGTCACTCCTGAGGGACTCCTGGGGGCTACCCAATCATCTGCCTGTCTGCATTTCTCTGCCGCGAGTTATATTAGTTTCCAGTGATTGCCGTCACTCATTTCATGATTTGGCTTGGCGTTTCACCTTTCCGGCTTCGTGATTAACCCCTAACCGGGTAAGCCGGCACATCCAATCCCAGGATTGTCGTCGCCCCTAAATCAACAACAATAACAACAACAACAGCCGTGGACGTGACTCCTGGTTCAACCTTGACGACGAGCGGATGTCTGGACACCGGCTCTACCTGGGAACCGCCGGATCACGTTCTGTTTCACGATTTTGCATTTTGATTCTGTCGTTTGGCATTCCCATTCAACGGTCCGGATTGTTATGAAGCATGGCATACATATCGTTTTGGGTCATAGGATAGTGATAGATTTTGAGCGTTTTCTGGCAGGTTATTCAGGCAAGGTGACGGTTTCCAGTGCAGGCTTGGCCAAGAGGTTCAGCACATTGGGGGGCTCGTCTTGGTGGGTTCCTGGTGTTCCCTCAGACGTTATTGGAGGCTGGCTTATGCTCTGCCGGAGGGCACTGGATGACTTTTGCATTTAGTTGTGGACAAGGTTTTTGGTTTTGCTATCCGGTGTTCTCTGTGTACTCACCTAGTTGTGCTTGCGGGGGTTAGGCTCTGACTTTTTGGTCCCGCCTCTCAACTGTCAATCAACTGGTGTACAGATTCTTGAACCTACTGGGCTGTACCTACCCCTGCGTCCTACATTTGAAACTGCGTATGAAGTCTGCCTCCACTACATCACTGTCTAATGCATTCTATCTGTTTACTACTCTGACACTGAAAAAGTTCTTTCTAACATCCATGTGGCTCATTTGGGTACTCAGTTTCCACTTGTATCCCCTTGTTTACGTAACTGCCCCTCTTCCCTTTCACAGCCCGTTTTCGTCGTGAGGGGGCTTTGTGGGCGGCTGCTGTAGTGTGATGTTCCATGGGACAGTCCTTTGTCCTGTTGAAGCCTAATGCTCCTGCTGCTGGCTTCACAAATTATGCTAGAAGTCTTTTCCTTTTCCTTATATTTCATTTTTCTCCCACTCTCTTCTCCTTTTTTACT